AGCTTTGGAGGTATATATAATAATGAGTCATACAGTCATTAATGTATGAACCCCAGGCAGGGAGCTCCCATTTTGTGTGTGAGAGGAATTTTTGTTCAGTCATAAGCGCTCCCCTACTGGGTCTGGAATTGCTCTCTGCACCAAAAAAACGCCTGGCTTCATTTTCTTTGAATTTAAAAAGGACATTCACAAACATTTCGGCTTAAGTTTAAAAGAAAACTTTTTTTTTAAAGGAAATGAAATTAGGGGAAAAAAAGATTAGTAGAACGTTATTGAAACTAGTTTTACTGGAAATGCCTCCAATGAAAATAGAGTTAAAAAAATATGAAAGAGACGCTGTGCCCCAGCTCAGTCTTTATATCTCTTTGTCAGGTTATTGTTTTGAGAAAGGAGAACAAAGAAAGAAGCCTGATAGATACAGATCACTTGTATTTTGCAACAGAAACTAAAATGGAAGTTCCTCTCCAAAGGATGGGGCTAAAATAGATCTTAAAATAAACTCAGGATTTTCAGTAGCATCAGGTATTATAAACAACCCTGGAAAAGGAGAATTCAGAGGGGGCTTCAAATACTGACCCTGCCAGTGCATTATGGGTTTACCTCGCTCCTGTTTTCTTCTCGCAATTTCACGTGAGCTTCTCATTAGTTACAACTGGGCTATACATTTATGTAGAACTGGGTACCTTATCCTTGAAAAAGACCACCTTTTCCTATTGGGCATAAGTAGAAACAATGGGAGGGCTAGTTATTCCAGACAGGTACCCGAGGCATTCTTACTGTTCCATCCCAAAGACATTGTAAAGGCGTGAAGAACAGGGAAATCAACTCCAAGGGTAACCACAAACCCAAGGTTTCTTTCTGCTGGGGTGTTGGGCAGAACTCTAACCTTCTATTGGCGAGGGTAATCTTTACTGAATTATGACCGGGGCAAGGGGGATTAAGTCTCTAAATAAAATTATCTTGGAGGAAAGTGGGCTCTGCTCATCTTTTCTCATTTCTTTTCAAACTGTTCTCTCTAGACCATTAACATTCAAGGAAAACTTCATCTAATGACTATCTGTTTGTCACTGTTTTGGGGGCGTGTGATGGGGTCATGATGTTTTAGGCAGGGAGACCCTCAATCTTAACATTACATGCTCCCTGATCACTCCTAGAAATATATATGAATAAGTAAAGATCCATATGCATTTTTTTTTTTTTT